CTCTCTGTGTAGTAACCTCTACCCACCCTCAGCAATCTGCCTAATCAGAACTTGTGTGCAGTAAGCCTCTGGCTTCTGCATACAGACTATACACCATTCCCCCCGTCCACCCTTCACCCATGGAAAGCCTAGCCATACATAACCTGCGCCCCCCTAGGTCGCCCCTTTTCCACCCATGGAAAACCCACCCATCACCTGTGGTTCCCCACACCTGCTGCTGATGCTGCAAAATATATATCCTCCCCGCAGCCCCGGTACTGAGTTTTCATTGATTCATCAATTATCATAAAGTCAGCAATGGTAATCTGGACTTCTGAATCGGCTAGGTAGACTAAACAACTACTTCCACCCCCATCCCCCTCCTCCTCCTCTCCCATCCAAAGCCATCCCATCGCTCGTTGGCGCTGCTAAATATACTTCCTGCAGCTCCTGCTCTAAACTTTCTTGGAGTTAACCAATCAATTACCAAGTCGGCAAATGGTGATCTGAACTTCCATCAGCTGCTTTCTGCATCCATGCGATGGTGCAGTTCCATCGTCGCCGGACTCGTCCTTACCGCCGTATTCTTTGTTAGTGGCTACCGTAGTGTACAAGAGGTTCAGCTGGTACTACTGTAGGGTGACGTTAGTTATTCCCAGGCATCCTTGTCAAGGGATGCCACCACCTTCTTCAGAATGGTTTCGATGGGTTGGTGCGCATTTTCGATGGCTTTCGACACGCGGCACCACCGCTCTCCATGATGCGGCTCCGCACTCAGACACCGCTTGACCACATCCTCTTGTTGCTCTGGCTTGCCATGCTGCATCTCAAACTTGTAGAACTGCGCCCAGAAGTCTCCAATGTCCGGATTCAAAGTCACTGCTCTATTGAACCACTTGCGGGCATTCTCCACCTTCCGATCCTGCCAGAACAGCACAGCGACCGTTGCGATGACCCAAGGATCGTGATCACATCTCTTGAGGGCATCGACGCTCTTGGACTTGCGCTGAGGTCTCGGAGCCATCATGATTGCCTCGGCCCAGAGAATGCCGCTGGTCGGGCACTCCTGAAGAGCCTTAGCCATCAAGCTTTCGCCGACCTTCTTGTTCCCCGCTCTTAGTTCCGCACGAATCGCTGCAATCCAGAGATCTGGCATCTTCGGGTTCTTGTGTCGCGACTGCTCCAAGATTGCCCTGGCCTTGCTCAATCCTCCAATTTTCTCTTCCAACTGCGCTGCGCACAGCCACAGCGGTATGCTGTTGGGACATCGCTTCAGGCCTCTCTGGTACACATCTCTTGCCACATCCGCCCTCCCAACTCGCGTCTCCAGCTGGCCCAGCATCAACCATAGCTTGTGGAACTCTGGGAACAGCCTCAACCCTTCATCCAATAGACTTCTCTCCTCTTCCACGTTGCTAAGCTCTCGTTCGACAATAGCCGACTTCATCCAGACCCGTTCCAGGCCCCCTCTCTCTCGCGCTCTCTTCATCAGGATCCTCGCTCTCTCCAGCTCCCTGTTCTCAAATTCCAGCTTGAAAGCGGCAAGATAGATCTCTTCTGAGTTGGGATTGGCAGCGTGGGCGGCCTCGAGGATGGCACGAGCCTCCGGGACGTTGCCTTGCAGCCACTTCTCCTTTGCGAGCATGAGCCACAACACCTCCGCCTGAGGACAATAGACCACAGCCTTGCGCAGGAGAGCATCAAGCGTCCCGGGAGTGCCGTGCGTCTTCTCAAGCTGTGCAGCGCGCAGCCACACTGACTTTTTGGCGCGAAAGACAGTCAGAGCGTGGGCATAGATGGCTCGCGCCGTCTCCAGCGAGCCGCGTTTCTTGTACTCTTCTGCGTCGGCCATCCACGTTCTCTTCCTATCTTCTTCCTCCACGCCCTCGCTAATTGTGGCGCGCACGATCGCTTGACACGTGGCAACTGATCCCGCCCGTTCAGCGTCCTCGGCGGCGCGCATCCACTTCTCTCTGTCTATCACCACTCCATGTCCTCTGAGGGACTTGATGGCTCTCTCGATGATCTTCCCCACCCTGGCGAGGTCACCCTTGGCTTCCTCCAACTTAGCCGCCGTGATGAAAATCGATGGCTCCGTGGGATTCGCCTCTCTGGCACGATTAAGGACAGTGCGCGCTTTTTCGTACGTCTCCAGCCGGGCAAGTGCAAGCCATAACTCCACATGTTGAGGGCAGCACTCCACAGCTCTCGACAGCAAGACTCGTGCATCGTCCTCATTGGCTAGTTCCACCACCGCCTTCCAAAGCCGCACAGAGTTGGGGATATGTTCAAGAGCCTTTCGCAGAACCCTAGACTTCCCCTCATCATCCTTCTCCATCCTTGCCGCTTGCATCCACAACTTCACTGATGTGGGGATCGCCTTCACCCCTCTCGCAATCATAGCCTTGGCATTTTCCGGGGTTTGCAGACGAGAGGCCTCGAGCCAGACATCCTCGTTCTTCGGGCACTCCTCGCATCCTCGTTGAATGAAGGCACGTGCCGCCTGAATTTTCCCCGCCAGCTCCTCCAGCCTGGCCGCCGCGATCCATCCCGGTGCGTGCTTCGGATTAGTCTGAATAACGCTCTTGAGCAGCAGCCTGGCCTTCTTGATGTCGCTGATCTCCGCGTCGCTGTTGATCTTCATGCTCTTTAGATCGGTTAAGTACCCCTTGGGATCGACGACAGTCTGACCTGTCACACTGTCAGAGAGCCTGTCAAGCTTCAGGCTGAGGACAGTCCCTCTCCCTTCTCCCACGGCTGTCAGATCCGTCACGGGGGTCTGCGCCCATGGTGTTTCCGTGCCTCCGCCTCCGGGCCCGCCGCCACCCGCGCGGCCCCGCGGGTCCAAAGCGCTCACGTGCTCATGCTCTTGCCGCGCCTTCTCCAGCAACGTGTCCGGCACGGGAACAAAGCTCTCAAACCGCTTCTTCTTGTTGCGCATGCTGTAGTCCCCAATCTCTGGGATACTGTCCCATTCATCCGAACTAAGATGGGTCAGTTTCCTCTTTAGGTCCGCAAATTGAGCCGTGATCTTCGGATTGGACGCGCGATACTTCTCAATCTCCTGCTTGAGACGTGCCTCCCGCCGGTCGCGCCGCCGCTCATCCATTCTCTTGTCGATCCCCTCCCATATGGAATCAGCCTCGCGGTCGTCCTCGTCATACTCGCCACTCGCGAACAAGCCCATGTCATTCCCCTCGAACTCATCGAACTTCTGATTCTCATCATAACCCTTCTCCTCTGCATCATCGTCATCATCGCCAGCGCCGCCCTGCGCGCCTCCCTTACCCCGACCACGTCCCAGCGCCGGGATCTTATCCGGCAAGTCGGGAGCGGCACGGGCAGGACCAATATCAGACCGAGTAGTGAATCCCGTCGCACCGCGACCCAGACCTGCTACATAGTTGGGAGGGGGCTTAGAGTTCAAATCGAGACGAGTTTTGGGCAGCGCAGGGGCCGCCATCTTGCTCGCTCTATGTACTCAGAAACGAATAATATACGGAAATGACGTCAACAAAAAAAAAAAAACGGAAATCCCACTCCGATCCTCCTCCCCCTACTTTTTATCGTTGCCACTCTTACTCTTCAAGCGGACCAAAACAGATAGGCTATCAAAAAGAGCCCCACCTCTCCACAACGCAACCTGTCCAGGTGGCGTTCTCTCTCTCTCTCTCTCTCTCTCTCTCTCTCTCTCTCTCTCTCTCTCTCTCCCCTGTGGGTGTGGGGGGGGGGTGTAACGTTTTCCCCTCCCCTGCTAACTCAGACTAGCTCTGCTTCTCAATTCCATGCAGGCACACAATCAAGCAGAGGCACACGCAGAAGCGAAGCTAGGCATGCATGCACGCACCTGCCAGGAACTGCCGTCTGTTGGAATCGCCTAGTACGAGGTCTCAATCTTCTCTTCGCTCTCTCGACCAGCTCGTCCTAGTCGTTGATCGCAGCTCCTGAATCTCTCTTCACAACAGCTCCTAGTCATCGATCTCAGCTCTCAACCGACCAAAAGAAACCAGCACAGATGCAGTGAATCCTCCTCAACTTTCCACCTCCTCTCTCTCTCTCTCTCTCTCTCTCTCTCTCTCTCTCTCTCTCTCTCTCTCTCTCCCCCCCCCTCCAAACACAGACATTAATCATTCAGATCCGCCCCAAAGACGCTGTCTGCTATATCTGCAGACAAGACTGCTTGCTTTCCCACTCCCCTGACATCGGCGCCGGCCATTATTCACATCTGCTTCCCCGAAGGCTATCATGCTGCATGCGAACGACACCTTCTTGTTCTTCCACTCCACCGGCTTCGACAAGCCCCGCTGCAACACCACTCAACGTTCTACTTTCTGCTGCTACTGCTGCTGCTGCACAAACCATGCACCATATAACATTTCACATCACGAACAGCCACCGCGTGCAAGAACAAGATTTGTTAGCCATCTTGCTCCTGACAGTGGTGCACTGAGTCACTGTCGCACAACTTAATCATTAATTACCTCCAATTGCTAACGCCTCTCTCTCTCTCTCTCTCTCTCTCTCTCTCTCTCTCTCTCTCTCACACACACACACACACACACACACACACACGCACACACACACACACACACGTACACGCGCGCGCGCGCGTTTCACACTCCCAAGAAGTGAAGGCATGCAAGGGGAAACATCAGGAGACTTATCGATGAACAGAAGCCTCAACCCCGACTATACATCGGCAGATCGGGTCAGCAAAACGCAGATTGGGACAATAAGGATAGCGACCCCGACCATACATCGATGGATTCCGACAAAGGAACGCGGACAGCGTAGGCATGCATTCCAATTTACGCTGGGATAGACTACAGGATAGAGTGCGGGAAATGAGGGCGAGAGGAACTGAAGACGAGAAAAGACAGGGATGAGGAGAGAAAAGCAGAGTAGGGCACCCGTTCGGGTAGCGGTTAAAGGCCTAGTTGCGCCACTCGTCATCCGCCAAGATGTTGAATGCATCTGAACATGACTATGCCCAGATGCATTCAAAATCTTGGTGAACGACGAGTGGTGCAACTAGGCCCTAAGCCGTTTAGGTACTCTTCTATCGTTCGTTCGGGATTCCACCGTATGAACTCATCTTCTTTTTTTCTTTTTTCTTTTTTCCAAAAAAAAAAACAGGGCGACGGCCTTGAGATATCAACCTTGAACTTACCAGCCCCAGGTAATTCAGAATTGCTTGTTCTGTGCATCTGATTGCATCTGGATTCGAACTCGGGTCTGATTCATATTTCAACAGGTCATGGGTGTACCACCTGAGCTACGCCCGTTAGTTATGCTCTCATCTTTGACTTCCGGTCCAGCAGCATACCAAGCGCATGTCTATCAGGACAGCGACATAGCCCATTCAACAAGCCAGGAAGAGAGGGAGGGTAGAGGAAGAGAGGGAGGGTAGTGGGGACGAGAAGAACGGAGTGAGGAGCACAGACAGAGAGAGGAAAGGAGAGGAGAGCCGACAGGCACGGAGGAAGAGAGAGAGGCAGAAGGAGAAGGGACAGATTATCATCATAAACTACCGTCTTCAACCGAACAGAACGCCCGGTCATTATACCTGTATCTGGACTGAAAATTGCACCAGATACGGCTATAATGACCGGGCGTTTCTATTCGGGTGACGAGGGTAGCTGAATCGGATCATGCGAAAATCGTGATTGTCCGCTTCAGCAACAAACCGCATATCTCAAAAGCAAATTTTTAAAAACTGACATTTCTCCCCCCTATCTGGCCCTCGTAATTAAACGCTCTACCGTCCTTCCCCGAATAAAACGTACGATTCTTATAGCCGACCTTTCTGTATAGATTCATAAGAGACCCCGCACGTTTATTTCGCGGAAAACTGCAGCCAACTACGCAACGTGGGCGTGCAAGCACATCTTGTTAAGAAATCGAGACGGTAGCTAAAGCATCCTCAAAGCAGAACTTTACTTAATTCCTTGGATTGCAAATCACGATCAAATTCAGTCGATCGAAAACGCTCCCTCGGTCCCTAAGAAGAGCATTTATGGCATACTTTGTTTCCTCTACAGTGGCCAGCTACCGTCTTGCTCCGAACACAACGCCCTCAGCTAATGAATGTACGCGGAATATCCTTCCGATCCGACACAGTCATCATGAGAGCGCGTTGTGTACGGTGGAAGACGGTAGTTGAAACCCTAATTTCGTCAACTGAATCGCTTACTTAGCGCTGCTGCTTAGCACCCTATGCCTACTCTCTCTCTCTCTCTCTCACTCATCCTCTCTCTCTTCCCCCCCCCACCACCCCGCAATGATCAGAGTGCACATACTTATATCGTGGCTAGGCAAATCTAATAACACAGTTTGTAGAGAATGAAACTGTAGGAACTGCCGGAGGTACGGGACCCCGAGAGAGCAACAGTAGGGATTGAAACTCACAGTGTGGAACGACACGCGAATGAAGGAGGAAAAGAAATTCACGAAGAAGAATAGGAAGAGATGTGGATGGATGGAACAAAACTTACATCTTCTTGCCGACGCAGAGCTCTCCTCACCACACCCACAAACCCAATTCCACAATAGATTTGAGCCGCTACCACAGCAACGTGCAGTCACCACTGAGACGTGGGCTGGTTCGTGGGTTCCTGTGGCGGTAATTGCTTCGCTGTCGTATCGTGTTGAGTTGCGACGTGACACAGTCAGGGCGAGGGCCAACGTGCGCCTCCTTCGGCGCCAGAGAAGCGCGCGTCTGCGCGCGACAGCCGTACCGGGTCGCGCCGGGGCCGACCTGTGTGTGTGTTTGATAAGCCGACAGGATGTCAAGCTGGGCGAAGTGGAAGTCGCCCTCACCAACTGGCCTAGAACACCCCTGGACTGTTGAAATACACAGACCAGATCCAGCGGCCTAACTCAGTTGGTAAGGCTCGCAAGTGGCATTCAGGAGGTACTGGGTTCGATCCCCATTGGACTCATGTGCCTTCCTGGGCATGCTTGGCGCCCGCCACCTAGAGATACACCACTGGATCCCCCGATCGGCATTGAGCAGAATTTGCTGATGTTCGTAGGGGAGGGGACCTGAGGGGAGGCACGGGGATTGGTCCTGTTGGCATGGTCCCTGACGCTACCGGCTGTCCCCTAGCTGGTATCGCCCACCTGCAGGTCCGGAGCAGCCCCCCGCATGTTCTCTCGTGAACACGCTTCTGGCTGCTACGGGGTTCCCCATATGCCTACAATTAGGAGTAGTGGTAGGTAGGTAGTGTGAGGTGAAATCGAGAGAAGAATAATAAAAAAATTGTCTACCGCGTGGGCGCGGAGAATGCAGCCCTAAGGTAGCCAAATCAATGAGACTAAGAGCTAACACAAGAGAGAGAGAGAGAGAGAGAGAGAGAGAAAGACTTTTGTTCCATTTATTGTTATGAGTGTGAGAGAGAGAAAGAAATAGAGAGAGAGGGAGGGGGGGGCCTACCAGAGAGAGAGAGAGAGGGGGGGGGCGGGGAGTACTCTAGAGAGAGAGAGAGAGAGAGAGACTGAATGGCAAAATTGAAATATGGGTCAAATTGCGGCCGTGATCTATTTAGCAGTTGGAATGATTTTTTTTAAGTTATTTAGCGTTTTTCTTGAAAAGATCACACCAAAATCTACGAGTACTTCAATTTTCAGGTTTTTTCATGCATTCTTCTGAGCGTGAAAACTCACTGAATTTGGAGTACTTTTTTAGTTGGCCCAAGCATGGCTGAGTGGCAAAAATGGAAAATGTGCCGAATCGGCGCGGTGATTATTTCGCAGTGTAAATGATTTTTTGTAAATGTTCTATTATTATTTCTGGAAATAACACTACCTCATCTATGGATTCTCAAAATTTCAGATTTTTTTGCATGTTCGTCCGAGCACAGAAAATCGTCAAAGTTTGCCTCTTGCAAAATGCCTATTTCGTTGTGCCTGACGTCCCTGTTTTGAGGAGACGGGGCTCAATGCCTGGGCCTGAGGGCCCTTTTGCAGTTCACATCCCCGCAGTTCTTTTTGGGATCCGCACTTCTTTTTGGGGTTCGCTTCTACCCTGGGACCGGTCCAACGCCCCCCACTTCTTTTTGGGGTCCACTTCCACCCGATGACCGGTCCTTCCTTTTTCCAAAAGTCCCCGTTCTAAAAGAGTTGGTTGTAAGTAGTTCGCAATTTTGCCAAGGACCGGTCCCCAAAAAATATTTGTCCCCTAAGAACTCACTTTGCGTCCTGGTCGCCCGCCACCGAAAATGCGACACCTTGACACATACGTGGAAGCACACTATACCGCAGCCTTAGGGCTGCGAATAAATTGTCTACCGCGTGGGCACGGGGAACGCAGCCCTTAGGTAGCCAAATCAATAAGACTAAGAGGTAACACGAGAGAGAGAGAGAGAGAGAGAGAGAGAGAGAGAGAGAG